ACACACACACACACACACACACACACACACACACACACACACACGCCAGTTTTGTTAGGGCGAGGGCATGGTAGTGCATACCTGTAATGCCAAAGTTTGGGAGCTGGAGGCAGGAGAATCAGAGCCTGACAGGTATCCTCAGCTGCAATAGGGAGTGCAGCATACAGCCTGGGGATACTGGAATGCCCTCTCTCAAAACAGCAAAGCAACAAGCAACTGGGTATGAAGGTTGAGGCAGCAGAAAGCTACAAGCTTGATGCTAGCCTGCACTACAGAATAAGATCCTGTCTAAAACAACCAAGACCAAACAAACAAACAAACAAACAAACAAACAAACAGAAAAACACCCTTCAAATAAGAATAAATACATGAAATTACAAACAGTAAAAAGAGATATGCTTAAGTAATCACCAAGACACATCTTCTGGTGTGTCTCTGATGGACTTTCCCAAACAGTTGGATCCTGAGGGCTCTGACCTGGAGTCTGGATTAGTTTCCTATAGTCATAATGCCCTGGTGTATTATTAGAAGGCAAAACAACGTAGAGAGAGAAACTAGGCCATAGTGGTGGGGGTGATGGGGAGGGAGCATACCTAGAGACTGTCTTGTGCTGCTTACTTGCAGTACTGCCTTTTCTTGTGTGCCCAGATGCTAATTGCTCCATTCTGCCAACCTCTCTTTGCCACACCAACTTAAACACCTGAACCTTGACTTAAAATAAACCTTGCCTCCTGTTGTTCTCTTGGGTAATTTGGTCCCAGGTACACAAATCTAAGTCCTACATGCATCCTGCAAAAAAATTTACATGCAGAACATTTTTTAAAGAAGAGATGCATGGTGACAGGTAAAATACGCTTGCAACAGTATAGTCACAAAATGCTGGGGGCTGGAAAGATGGCTCAGTGATTATGAGGCTGTTCTTCAGAGGATCTAGGTTCAGTTCCCAGCAACCCACATGGCAGCTCATGCTTGCCAGGGGACCCAACACATGCTTTTGGGTCTGTGGGAACTGCACATACATGGTGCACAGACATACATGCAGGCAAAATACCCACACACAAATAAAAATAAATAAATCTTTACAAAAAAGAAAAAAAACCAAGATATTTTTCATGAAGTAACAATGGAGATCTAGGTTAGCTAAATAGGCCTGAAACCCAAGCTTCTTAGAGGGCTGAAGTGTCACAAGATTGGGCCAGCCTGCCCAATTTAGTGAGATCTTGTCTCAAGGTGAACAGTGAAGAGAGAGCTGGGAATATAAGTTCAATACTGAGATGATACCCCAATATGCATAACACTATGGCTTCAATCTCTAACACCACCAGCTGGTGGAGGAGGAAAAGGAAAAAGAAGGGGAGTAAGGGGATGAAAAGGAGGATGAGGAAGGAGGAGGACCAGGAAACAACAGATGGACACCACCATTTAGTACTTACTTTGGAAGCTGCCCAGTCAATCCAGCCTTTAGCACACGGGTCAATATTAATGAGCACAAGACCTTCCACCAGCTCTGGATGATTGAGCTGAGAGAGAGAAAGGCAGCCGTGTGAGACTCCCACTCCCCACTTCTTCTAAAGCAGTGGCCACAGGTCTGTCCAGGCCTCAACGCCTCATGTTGAAAGAAAGACTGCAGAGAGGTGCTTTGGAGCATCTGCAGACAATAGCTCTTGAACCCTGACCCAGTACCTGGAAACCAGTCTCTCAAAATGAGACTGAGTCATCTTCCCTTGGGTGGGGCTTGGGGAAGACAAGATGTTTGTTGCTGTAGCAGAGGGGACCATGCTGCAGTTGCTTGGCTTATAGGGGACTTGCTTTTGGGCAAGTGTGCTAAAACACTTGGCATAATAAGGCCTACTCGGGCTTATGTGGGCTGCTTTGCTACAACATGGGCTCCTGAAAGTGCTTTCTTGAAGCCATCTGAACAACAGGCAATGCCATCCCAGAAAACACTTTCCTGTCACCCAGGAGAAATTTCACAACAGGAGTCCTTCCCCAGGGTTTGGTAGGAAGCTGCAGTCCCACTGTTTTGTTACAGTAAGGTGTCATTTCAAGTTCTTCTCAAACTCACTTTTTATGGCTTTAACAGTCTCCCCAGAAGCCGCTTCTGGGTCTTTTTATAATGTCCTGTCCTCATTTGTGGACTTTCAGGTCTTTTACGCATAAAGCAAGCCTTCACACACATGTGCCTGGAGCAGCTAGAACTTACAGAACCAGCAACAGAAGCCCAGAGCAACACTAGCCATTTAGCACAGCCCTCAGCTGGGAGCCACACACTACCTGGGGGACTTGAGACTTGAGACTAACCCTTCCTGTACTTACTGCAAATCGGCTGAGGATGTAGGCTCCTGCTCCAACTCCAATACCAATGATGCTCTTTACACTGAACAAGGCAGATGGACAACTGACAGTGTCTTCCTTCTGTGGCAGCACCGCATAGTAGAATGAACACAAGCTGGGCACAGAACCAAGTTCTGACACTTAGCAGCTAGAAAAACTTGGCCAAGCTTCTTTAATCTCAAGCTTCAATGCCCTCCTTATTTGACAAAAACTCCTATCTTCTCCCCCACTTTCTCCCCTCTCTCCTTTCTTATCCTTTTTTCTCTTACAAAGCTGCCTACTAAGTATTGAACCCGGGACCTCGTGGATGCTAGTGCAGGGGCTAGTATTCTACCACTGAGCTATATAGCCCATCAGGCATACTACCTACTTTACAGTTTGTTTTTATGGTTAAATGAAATATGCCTGAAGTCTAGAACTCATCTTCACCATCCCACTGTCTCAAAATCCACCAGCAAATTTTGTCAAATCTACCTGTGAATTAGATTCATTGGTCACCACCCACTTTAGTCCAACCTGTGATTTCCTTGTGTTGAGGATGCTAAGGACCAGTCTCAGAGCACAGAGCTGGTTAGACATGTGCATTATGACTGAGAAACATCCCCATCTAATGCATATTTTGGGGATTGTTTATCAAGCAGCTGGTCTCCGAAGGTCAGTGAACACAGTGACTCTTCTGTTCTGTTAAGTGCAGGGACATGCACTTAAAAGGAAGAGTTAAAAGGAAAGAACAACATGATAGAGATGGGCGCATAGCTAGGGAGAGAGTATCTGACCATCAGGAGGGGAAGCCTGCATCAGATTTGCAACAGGGAGGGGAGCCAGAACAGAAGACTGTAGAAGACGCTCACCTTAGGTGTGTAAGCACAGGAGGCAGCATTTTGGCTAGCTCGTCCATAGTGGGGTACTGATACCTAAAACAGTAGGACACCTCCTAAAACCACAGCTCCCAGTCATAGTCCAGTCCAGGAATCTTAGAGAAACACAGTTTTTTGTTTGTATGTATGTTTGTTTTTTTAACCAAAGTCTTAAAGGACATGATGTAATGCCTGGAGACACTGTGGCGCGCTCCATAATTCTCCATGACTGTCATGTGAGAAGAAATACAAGGGGCCACACTCCTGGTATCAGAGGAAGTTACAGGAAAAGAACTGGGTAGATGGCCCACTATGTGCTATTTCCAAACCCTTAACATTCACTTCCAGACTCAGGCATGTCCAGCAGCAAGAGTCAACTAAGGAAATAGCTTACAGTTTACCAATCATACTGAAGCAGTTAACTGTAACAGGATATAATGCTTTCCTGGGCCTATGCACCACTACAGAACTTGGGTTCCTCAGAATAAATGCTCATTGCTTCCACCTAGGTGCAAGATAAAGTTTATTTTATGAACTGCTTATTCATGATATGAACTTATTTATGATGAGATGTAAAATGGCCAGGCAAGCCCAGAGCTGGCCCAGAGCAGGAAGAGTAAGGAGAAAGTCACAGAGGTGACAGATTCAGACAGGGACAGGATATTTTTCAGTGAGATGACACTGTGCTCATGTGTGTGCTTATATGTGTGTGTG